GCGGGCTGGGCGGCGGTTCCTGACGTGGCGCTACCGACTGTTGAACGCAGATCTGAGAACCATCATTGATATTTGTAGCATCACAGGGCATTGCACTGCCAGTGCCAAGCGGGTAGGGTGATGAAAATCGGCCTTGTGCATCAAGACGGGCTGCCTTGTCCTCGAGTCACCTACATAAAGCTGACCACAGAGTGCGTGTTCCGACTGGAGTGACGACTGGCCCGCTTCCAAATGGTGCATGGAGTCTGGCTACGGAAAACTTCCGTGAATCATGAATGCCACCGGACATTGTAATTGAGGAAAGTATGGGGTACTAGTAGTTTGTGTTTGTTGTGGTCGGAGCGGTAGGGCTGGAGAACATCTGGACATGCCACTCGGTAATACTCCGTACCATTCATTACTCCGTACGACCGACCCAACTCCAGTACCTCCAGTACCGCGCCACGCAGTGGCACGCACGGCTGACTGCTGTTCAACATTAGATTGACGTCAAATGCTCCTCGGCCGGATTATTGGCAGTATCATTTCCCAACAGTGGCTTGGACGCCCGAGGGGCGTGACGTGAGATGCAAGGCTGGATGGCGGTGATTCGACAGGCACACACACGTCATGTCCTGTCGTGCCCCGCCATGGGGGGCTTGCGATTCCAGATCCCGGGCGGCGTGCAGCAATCTTCAATCTCGTCGAAATTAACCAAACATTTGAACCAGACCAGACAGCACCGTGCATTGGGCGGCGCTGCTGACACGACGCAGACAGAGTGCAAAGGAGCCAGACAGCTCGAGCCACCGACAACCCGATGCCATGGCGGTGCCATATGTCTTGGCAGCAGCACTCGGCGAGAAGAATGGCGGCTTGCGAAAATGAAGTAACTACAGTCTACGGCAGAATATAGTTAACTATTTACCCACCAAGAAGTATGCACTAATATACCGTTACATGTCATAAATATAGAGCGTGATAACCAGGTGCTTGACCTGGTTATTGTATGTAGTCACTCAGTAGGCAATGGCCTTGCAACCAAACAATGCGCATCCTGGCCTTCAACCCATTCACCCATTTAACCGCCGAGAGGAGGTGCATGTGGAGGCTGTGGCATTGACACTGGCCAGCCAAGGCACCAAAGGGCTCGGCAAGCAACCCTGGGTCACTCTTTGAACCATTCAAACGCTCAATCGGAGGGTGCCAGTCTCCATTCTCTAGTCTCTCATGCTGCGACGCGTTTCCGTGCCGCCGCAGATGGATAGAAAGTATTAAGAAGGCCAAGATGCGCGAGCCCCGTCACATTGTCCTTGCTGGCCGGTTTGCCTTTGTCTTGTTCTTCATTGTCCGGACCGTTTGTTGAGAGTCTGGCATGTGGTTTCCAAGTGCTGTCGGCTCCATTGATGTCGAGTTCTAGCTGCGCCCCTCCCTCAAGTGCTCTCAAGTGCTGTATTGACGTAACCAGTTGACGTCTGCCGGCGACCCAGCTGGGCTGTAACCCCGCCATAACTTCTTAACTACATTCGCCCTGAGCATCTTCCCGAGCCGTCCAGCTCTCGCGGTCGAACAGATTCGAACACATCTCCACCGGCTTCGCCTCGTTCACCGGAAAGCTGGCGTCCCTGGGAAGAAGGAAAACAAGCTGATCGTTCGAACCTCTGTTTCGACATCCCCGCGCGCACATCGAGGCCACCACGCGCGACGCTCTACATACGTACACACGCCTTGTCGCCATGGCTCAAGATAGCGACGTCACCTCGTCGGCCGAAGCTGCAGCATCTGCTACCACCAGCACCACCGGCGCTGTCGAAACGAAAGAACTTCCCATCCGCCAGACCAGCTTTGGAACGGCTGCTTCTGGACAGACCCTGACGGGGAAGCAGGAACATTGTGCGTTGTGTCTCCTGCAAACATACATATACCGCCCGACGACTGTGACTGTGATGCTAACGTTCCAATTTCCGCCAACAGACCTCAAGCGCGAGCTTATTTCCAAGCAGGTGAAATGGGAAATCGACGAACTCAACTCCCCAACCGCTCTGCAGCGATTCGGGGCGCCATTTCGTTCTGAGCGTGGTGAGGTCTCGCCTGAGGAGTCGGAACTCCCCATTCTTCGTTTCATCTTTGTCCACCATGTCCGGGACTTTCCCTTCCTTGACAAGGCCAGGGAAAAGGAGTTTTGGCAAGACAAGCTTCAAGTTGTATGTCTTCACCGTCCTGTTCCGGGTTCCCCCCCCCATTATTTCCCCCCTTTTCTTCCCCGCAAACATCACGTTCTAACAAAAGTGGCACAAACCGTGTAGTTCTTGGAGTCATTTGCCGTGAAGCGCGTCTCATCATCCGAAGACCGGCTTGAGGAGACTAAGCGTAGAAAGCTTGCCATCAAGGCCCAGAAGCTCATCGAACTGATGATGGTTTCTGGCATACCAACATCCTCTGGCTTCGAAGAGCGCATTCGTTTTTCAGAGATTGAGATTGTCGACAGCAACGCCATTGAGACTGGATTAGTGCATAGTATACCCGAGGGCAACTACATCAATGGCTGGGATGTCAATGTCGCTGGTGTGCGCGTCATGACTGTCAAGGGGAGGATCCGGCAACACAAACACGCCGAGTTCTTGCTTCGTATCAAGCAAAAGGGCGAGCTGGAGCACTTTGTCGGCCGGAGGTATGGAGACTTTAGTAGACTCCACAAACGACTAAAGACGGAGTTGCCTGGCCGGATTCTGCCCCCTCTGCCTAAGAAGAATAAGTCTAGCACTACGGCATCTGGGCTGTGGACCGGATGGAGCAATGCCGATGATTCGGATGCGTCGTCTGTATCGTCTGTTTCCACCCGACTCACAAATGCCCCCGTGCCGCAGTCTGGCGGTATTTCGTCGCTGTTGGCGCCCACAGGACCTAGTAAGATATACGACTTGCGATTGCTTGATATTGCCGAAGCTGACACACATTCGATCAGGCCAACGAAAACCTGGTTCTGCTCGATCCATTCGCTCCGCAAGAGAGTCTCCTCGACCCTCGGTTGATGGGAAGCAGAGTCCTGAGAAGCAGGATGCTGACGATGTGCGTTTGCAACTTACACAATGCTCGAGGTCTTATTGAATGGAACTGACAAATACATCTCAGAGCGTGGTATTGTGGAGAGAATCCTCTCGCGTTTCTCTCCGTGCCTTTTTGAGGTCTCTGTTGCACAACCCGCAGGTGGCCAACACCAAAGCCATGCAAGAGTTCCTGAGCGGTGACCCCATCACCCCCACCGACGATGATGTCGAGGACATTATGAGGCGCAAGGCTATCGACGAGAAGCGAATCGAGGAACAGAAACAGTTTTACGAGATTGCGAGGAAGAGAGCCGCGGAACTTGACGAGTACATGGAGCAGTAAGTCCAAGTCTTTAGCCTATGTTCTTCACCAACGTCTTGATGCTAAGCAGGCACAGATTTCGGCGGGATATTGTCGAACAAAACGGTCTTACAATGCTTTTCAAGGAAATCAAGGACAAGGAGACGATTCAAGACCTCAGCCTCCGGTATCAAAAGTTTGCAGAGTGGTTGAGAATTGAAGTTGCAGCTGTGATTTATCACCTCTTCCTTGCAGAAGACAACTCGCCTGAGATTTTTGCCCAAGCGAAGCGCATTCACTCCCTGATCCCCTACTCGGTCCTCAAAAATGTCATTCGCATTGCCAACCCAGCGGCAGTCATGTCGGGCGTGCTGGATATCTTCCTGGCCCAACCGTTCGGTGCCAGATCACTAATGCAAAGAATATTCTCTCTCACTCTCAATGACGGGATCAAGAGCTTCCAAAAGTCCATTGACGCTCTAACAAACAAGATCGCGGACCCCATCTTTACTGACAAGCTGAAGAGATACACACACGCCGAGGAAGATCTGAAAGCCGCGATTCGCTTGGAGGCTGAAGAGGAACAGATCGACCTTATTGTTGCCATTATGCGATCCAATCTCATTGAGCCTGAATTAACTAGCGAACAAATTCAGCGTCTGTTTAATGCATACGTTGCGTTCAACAATGCCGTCGAAAACGTTGACGAGGAATTGAAGCAAGGCGCACAATTGTTCTCGTATCTGAAGCAGCTTCTTAAGCTCTGCACACGACAGCGAGACAAGGCTATGATGCTTCAACTGATTGAGGAGCCGGTGACGCTGCAACTATTCCGAGATCTGTTTACAATCTTTTACGAGCCTCTTGTTAGAGTATACAAGTCCGCCAATGTCTATAATAGTGTCACAGACTTTGCGGTCTTTATAGATGACATGATCCAGGCAAGATCAACACACGCCGCCCGCCGTTGTTACAAGACTACCTTACTAACCATGCAAAAAATGATTAGGTCGTCGACAAGTGCAGAGAGCAGGATGCCTCGGCAGATCCCAACCAGACGGTTCAAGCTTTTATCGATTTATGCCAGAGACACGAGCATAACTTTTACAAATTTGTTCATGAGGTCCACACACACGACAATGGCCTTTTTACGCAGCTCATGGGCTGGATCGAAGGAATCCTCGAGTTCCTCCGCCACGGACCCAAGAACGGAACGCTTAATGTTAATGCATTGTTCGAAGGCGGTGTTAGTGCAGGAATTTTAGACAAGGAAAAGGCCATTCAAGAGATCAACTCTCTCATCGCATGGCAGGAGGCGAGGAAGAAGTGGCACCACGACAAGACGCGACAGAAGATGGCCGCGGAGGGCCAGCCTCTAGGCTCTGTAGGAGCCATTGGAACTGGCTTCGATTCTGCTGATTTTGGCTTAGACGGACAAGACCTGCAGGACATGGCATACGACTTCGAGTCCGAGTCCGAAAAGGAGGCGGAGGCGGAGGAAGAGGATGAGCTGGATCCTATCTCGGCCGAGAGGCGCAGAAGAGCTAAGAAACAAGATCGACTTCGCCGTAGTGCAGGGGAGCCGGTGAAGCCTGAGATCTCTGAGGTCCACAAGCTGCATGACAATTTCTTGGTCATGCTGCGGGAGGTGCTGGCAGGTTAATGTGTGTGCGAGGGACAGGACTTTGAGGACGTTTTTGCAAGTTGAATCCTCATACATCCATCCTTACGCATGCCGTATGGAAGCGTAGAGCCATCATGTTCCAATGTTCAAGTTTTGTGGGCAATTTATCGTGTTATTCAAGATACCTAGGTATTACTAGAAGTCAAATAAGAATAAAAGCACTGATTTTTTAGATTATTTTTGTCCGTATCCAGACGGCTGTCACTCCCATGATGATAATGCTCGTGCTTTGTAAAAGTGTGGACCCCGAAGAAGGCTGGCGGTGACTGATTACCGTATTGTGGGGCGAGCGAATTAAATGAAAGGTACTCCGTACGGAGTTCGGGGAGTACGGGGAGACAAGAGCGAGGGAGGTGGAAACAAGCCGGAACACATGGAGGTTCTCCCATGTGACGGCTACGGGTCTTCAAGCCAAGAGCGAAGATTATCCGTCCGACGATGAGTTTGCGGGACGGGCGCCGACATTACAGAACTGGAGACAGCGTGAGAGGCATAAGAAAAAGAATTAAAGCTTAAATGTGTGGATTGTCGTCGTCAATCGGGAGCCAAAAAATCTCGATTACATGTTCCGTCAGTCGCCATCGGCTGCCATGCAGAAGTATGTACATGCCGGTGGCACAGAGGTGTGACGGTTTATTAGGCTATTGGACCAAAGGGCAGAGGCCAAACAGCGCTTAAAGGCTGCTAATAGCTCCGCGCTGATTGGCCAAATGGACCGAGGAACCGAGCACGCTTGTTCCGAAAGTGAGCCATCCAATGCTAAGCAGCGCAAAGAAACCCATCAACCGCCGTCGTTCGTGACTTGGGTCTGAATATTCTCCCCCCCATCCGCCGAGCTTCAACGCCATCGCGTCTCGATTTTCTGCGCATGCAGACTAGGTGAACGCGAATACTCTTGACCATGGCTTCTTCTATGGCTCTGAGGAAATTGACCTCTGGCTCTGCTGTGCGTACTCAATCCGTCCCCCCTCGTTGCGAGCTCGTGCCCAATCTAAACCCTCCGCTTCGTCCCATCTATGAACGGCTCCCTACCGATCGACGGACGACTGACCCCTTTTGGCCACTCAATTGTTTGTAACTGATTGCGCTCTGGCATCTATGCTGACGTGCTGTGTTGTCATGCAGTTTTCGCGATTGGCGAGAAGCCAGGCCAGGGCCTTTTCTACTACCCGACCTGCTGGTAAGTCTGGCCTCGGGATGCAGCGACCCAACACAACTGCGAGCATGGGCTGATTTTTGGACTACAATTGCAGCTCGAGTTATTGCCAACCATCCCCTGAGAGCTAAGGAGGCTTCTCCTCATGTCAGCACAAAGTACAACGTTATTGTGCGTACTTCTACGAGGCCCCGAGCAATCCCGGCTCACCACTACCCCCCCCAAAGCAATGACAGCCGAAATTGACTCGTCATCGATATTTAGGATCACGAGTACGATGCCCTCGTCGTCGGCGCCGGTGGTGCTGGCCTCCGTGCTGCCTTCGGTCTCGCTGAGGCTGGCTTCAACACTGCCTGTATCTCTAAGCTGTTTCCTACTCGAAGTCACACTGTCGCCGCTCAGGGTGGCATCAACGCTGCTCTCGGCAACATGCACGAGGATGACTGGAGATGGCACATGTACGATACCGTCAAGGGCTCTGACTGGCTGGGCGATCAGGATGCTATTCATTACATGACCCGTGAAGCTCCCGCCTCCATTATCGAACTTGAGCACTATGGTTGCCCCTTCTCCCGAACCGAGGAGGGAAAAATGTGAGCCACGACACCCGCTTGATGTTGAGGCCCATATGAGGTTTTTTGAGTGTGCTGACCCCTTTCATCATCTCATAGCTACCAGCGAGCTTTCGGTGGACAGTCCCAGAAGTACGGCAAGGGCGGCCAGGCCTACCGATGCTGCGCCGCAGCTGACCGAACCGGCCACGCTCTTCTGCATACTCTCTACGGCCAGTCTCTCGCCCACAACACCAACTACTTCATCGAGTATTTCGCTCTGGATCTGATTATGCAGGATGGCGAATGCCGTGGTGTCCTCGCCTACAACCAGGAGGATGGTACTTTGCACCGATTCCTTGCCAACAACACTGTCCTGGCCACCGGTGGTTATGGCCGTGCGTACTTTAGCTGCACGTCTGCCCATACTTGCACTGGTGACGGCATGGCCATGGTTGCCCGTGCTGGTCTCCCCAACCAGGATCTCGAGTTCGTTCAATTCCATCCTACCGGCATCTACGGTGCTGGCTGCTTGATCACCGAGGGTGCTCGCGGTGAAGGTGGTTACCTGCTCAACTCTGAGGGTGAACGTTTTATGGAGCGTTACGCGCCTACTGCTAAGGATTTGGCCTCTCGTGATGTCGTCTCTCGATCCATGACCATGGAAATTCGTGACGGCCGTGGTGTCGGTGCTGAGAAGGATCACATCTACCTCCAGCTCAGCCACTTGCCCGCTGAGATTCTTGCTGAGCGTCTGCCCGGTATCTCCGAGACTGCTGGTATCTTTGCTGGCGTCGATGTCCGAAAGCAACCCATTCCTGTCTTACCTACTGTCCACTACAACATGGGTGGCATCCCGACCCGCTACACTGGCGAGGTGCTTACCGTCGATGAGCAGGGCAATGACAAGGTTGTTCCCGGTCTGTTCGCCTGTGGTGAGGCTGCTTGCGTGTCTGTCCACGGTGCTAACCGTCTTGGCGCCAACTCTCTGCTGGATCTCGTCGTCTTCGGCCGTGCCGTTTCGCACACTATCCGTGACAACTTTAAGCCTGGTGAAAAGCTCAAGCCTCTTGCTGCTGATGCTGGTGCTGAGCATATTGAGGTTCTGGACCAGGTCCGAACCTCTGACGGCCCCAAGAGCACTGCTGAGATCCGTCTGGCCATGCAGAAGGCCATGCAGACTGATGTCTCCGTGTTCCGCACTCAGGAGAGTTTGGACGAGGGTGTACGCAAGATGAACGCGATTGACCCCATGTTCAAGGAAGTTGGCATCAAAGACCGCAGCATGATCTGGAACTCTGACCTCGTCGAGACTCTAGAACTGCGAAACCTCTTGACTTGCGCGTAAGTTGCAATATATATGCTGACATGTTTCATATGTGACTGCGTCACCCCGAGGCTGACTTTGTTTGTGTTTGTAGTACCCAAACTGCTACTTCCGCCGCTGCCCGAAAGGAGTCCCGTGGTGCCCACGCCAGGGAGGATTACCCCGACCGAGACGACAAGAACTGGATGAAGCACACTCTATCCTTCCAGAAGACGCCTCACGGCAAGGTTGACCTGAAGTACCGTGGCGTTATTTCAACCACTCTGGATGAGAACGAGTGCAAGCCTGTACCTCCCTTCAAGCGTGTATACTAAACAAGACGTGGCATGAGTAGAGGGTGGGGAAGGGCGTGTCTGAATTACGGTTGCTGGGATAGCAAAAAGACAAGTAGATTATTAACCACGGAATTGAGGCGTCTCCTTTGTTGTAAGACATGCGATATATCCGGAATTAGTTGGAAGGAAAGCCCTGTTACGGGCCGTGGAGACGGTGGCGTACCAACATGTCGTCGTGTTGGTGTGGCCGAAACGAGGCTAGATGTGTACTAGGTTTCTGGAGCGGTTAGCTATGTAGTCGAGTTGCAAGGAAAGTTTCTTTTTTTTTCTTTTTCTTTTTCCCATATTCTTTTCCACCCATTCTCGCACAAACAGCCTCTGTTACACTTGTCGCGTCTCACAGCCGTCACTACCTCGGGCCTTTCCGGGAGCAGACGATGTGGCTTGGTTGCAGGGTCTGTCTTTCTTGGTGATGAGGCTGGACCTGATGCGAGAAATAGGCTCCAAGGGGCCGAGGCGACGGCTTGTATCACGTCACGCGGGCTATGCGGTGCCTCGTTACACGGGCAGGTGTACAAATGGGTCAGCCGTAGCTATACGGGGTGCCTCGCATCTCGGAATATCATGTGAGGACCGTACCTGTGACCCATTCGTGGATGCGGACGTGTTTTTTGCTTGAGAGCCCATGAACCAGGCAGACTATCGAGTTTGTTGGTTCAGGGGCCTTGCGAGGTGACTCGGTTGATTGGCTGGATCTTGGCGACCGCAATGCTGTGTCAGACGTGGGCTTTGCCCGGGCTGCTGGCCAATGTAGGTTGTCCTTTGTGAAGAACTCGGCTGGGCTCGACAATCTTTTTGTACATCTCCACCACGTCTGGCTAACGAGGCTTTGGCCGTCCCCCGATTGTGTTTCTTGGCTTTTGCTGATTGCGCATATTGGATTTCCACCTCGCCTAGAGAAACAGGCAAGTCTTATGGCTGGCGGATTGGTTCGAGGATTTCCTTTGAGTCGCCTGGCCATGTCGGTAGTCTGGTCTGATTGATGGGGGAGACCATAAGGATAAGAAATGGGGGCTGTTTATTTGCAGCGCCATTCGGCCTATTTTAGACTTCCCAATCATGTGCCATGGCTCCTAGCATATGTCCGGATAAAGACGCGTTCATCATGGTCAGCATCAAGAACGTGAATGAGAACACTGGCTCAAGTAAAAGCCCAAAGCACTTGCATCCTTGCATAGCAGCCACGTCCCTTGGCTCGCCGACGCGCTCGCTCGAGACGAAACTCCGAGCTGCTGCGTCCAAAGGGCTTTCTCGGGTCGAACTCTACTGGGCCGATCTGTTGCACTTTTCCTTTTCCTTTGCAAGCCAGACCTCCGCTGATACAGAGAGATTATCAATGAGTAAACAATCTAGCAAACTCGCTTCGTCTAACGGTTTTGAACGGCTTGTTCGTGCGTTCCCCATGTCTAGAATGTCAGTACTGCAAATTGCTGATGCGGAGCTGACAGCGTCGCCTGCTGACAGACGACCATCCATAGCGGAAAGGGGGCGGGTTGGTGCCGCTAATGGCATGGAGTCGGAATACCGGGCTATTTCCGTTTGAGAAAAGGTGCTATTGGCCGGCCTGGGAGACGATGGCGGATGTTATGTGTTGGACTGTCCGGCCGGCGATTGGGAATATGTGACGAGGTAAATTGGAGAAAGTGGGAGGATGATGCGGCGGTCTGTGAGAGACAGGATGAGAGCAAAAAGCTACATGTTGTTCTGTTTTGTCTAGTCTGGAAAGTATAGCTACCAAGGTATGCGTAGGTATAAAGATATCCAAGCAGCATAAGAAAACGAAACCAGGCGAAACTCCTCGCGCTCTATGCCCATCAATCGTCACTCACTGCTCAGCCATGCCGCGTCAGTTTTCCTCGTAAAGTCGTATCAACTGTGCCTTCATATTAGTCATTCGCTTGTGATTGTATGCGGCTTGATTCTCTAGGTCCCGTATCTTCTCTTGTAGTTGAGAAATCTTCTTGTCTTTCTCTTTGAGTGCGGCGCGCGCTGAATCTCTACCCAGGGAAAGACCCTTGGTTTTCCGGGCTGACATTAATAGCAGCCCCTGCACAGATTGGAGAACAGCTGGGTCAATTTTCTGGCGGCTCAATAGCGTCATGACTTTCTCTGTCACGTCTTGAGTAGTGGCATCGGGGGGGCTACTTGATGCACAGACAAGGCTGAAGCTCGAGTCTGAGGATGGCGTTTTGGACGGTGTCGTCAGAGTATCGGAAGACGTCGGTTCCTCAAATGACACCGCCTTGGAACGTTTTGCTTCCGACGCCGGGAATAAAGTTCTGGACACGGATGGTGTGGGCAAGCCGCCAACGATGACCGTGGTACGACGATTTGTGGAAGGTGTGCTAAATGCGTCGTCCGAGGGGAGACCGAGAGTGGCCATTTGGACACTTTTGTCTGTAATCTCGGCCAATTGACGCTCCAAATCCGAATCCAGGTCCGTGAACTCGTCCTCGTCGTCGTCCTCGTCCCAAGAATCATTCGGGTTTCTCTTCCTCTTCGAGCTAGGAGTAGCGGGACTGGCCAGTGATGCTAATGCCTGCGTTTCTCGTGTCCTCTGTGAGCTTGTTGGGCTGGAGCCAGCCGCTTTGGATGCCTTATTTGCGCCTCCCAGGCCTCTATCTCGCCGGCATGACGGTGTAGCTTGAATTCCATAGGACTCCAGAGGCCTTTGAGTGAAGGTTGGGGTCTTGGGTCTGGTTGGTACAGCAGGGTTGTCCACCAGATCGGCGTCGGACCCAGGGGCAGAGCCGGATTCTCGAACGACAGCATCATCTCTCCACAGAAAAAAGTTGCAAGACAGACGACGATGTATTTCACAGGTCCAGAAAAGTCTGCCTTTGTTGGGGCCGTCTTTCTTCACTTCACGCAGTACGGCTTTCTTGCGAGGATCACAGTTACCTGGTCACACGGTGTGATATGTCAGTCCGACGGAGCTATTGTCTCGAGTAAATTGGCCGTCTCAAGGTCATATCACCACACTCATTATGCAAGGTTCATCGAGACGCAATACCACAGTTCATTTGACGACATATGGGTGGGGACGGCGTTGAGGGACAAGTATCGAGGGAATAGAGGAAGCAAGCTTACACCACCACAGGCCATCCTGCCAGACACCATCGAGCCGTTTTTTCTGCGAGGAAGGCAATTCCTGTGCCTTGGAAGGCGACACTGGCGTAGAAGGCGTGTCTTTGTAGTGTCGTCTACGCGGAGTTGTAGACGATGCCATGTCGCGAGCAAACGCTTGGGCAGTGCAACAGTGCCTCTTTCTTGAGTTGGGCCCAGTCTCAACAAGTGAGCATGGTTGCCTCGGCTGCCGCTCAGTCCTGGAGCAAATTGCGGCGCGGCAGATAGCCAAGCTGCCTAGTTAGGCGATATGAAGAGCAAAGGTTGTCGGAGGTGTGGACTGAGAGCTCGGAGTGAGAACTAAGAGTCGACGTTGAACGTTGGACGTTGGAAGTCGCCGTAGCCGAAGCGGGGGGAGTGGAGAAGTCCGACCAAAGAAAGAAAAAGGTGGTGGCTGAGGTGTCGCTCCGATCAACTGATCAGCTGATGATGTATCCCATTCATTTGATCCAAAGATGACCATATAGTTCAGACTAGACGCTTCCAATTCTGGTGTGCCCTTGAGCACGCACAGGTTTGGACGGCGTGCTGTGTGCATGGAGATGTAAAACATTGTACTTACAACCTGTCGACGCAGATGTCTCAATCCGCCAGCGCTTGTCCCAAGAGGAGCGAAAGACATGGCCATCTTTTTGGACGTTGAACGTTGCTTCGCGCTCTTGGGTCTCGAGACCTGAGTCTCGAAGCGGCTCGCGGCTGTGAATGGCCAGTTCGGTGGTTCATTTGAAGTTGCAACAGCCGCACGTTCAGACTCCAGACTCATTGGGGCAGGCGCGACTTGGCGATGCGGGTCGGTTTCCTATTTGGCCAGTCAGCCTCAACCACTAACGGCGAGATCAACTTGCATCGTTATATCTTCACTCCAGGTCGTCAGGCTCTTTGTTTCTTCTCAGCGCGGACGGTGACTGCCGCCCTCGACTACATGTCGCCTCCCCGCCGCTACTCCTGATACGTACTTAAGTAAGTTGTTGAACTTGGCCCTTTTGCTTCTTGTTAATTTGCCCACTAACAGAACCAACGTGAACAAGTTGCCAAGGCCACCATGGGATGACTACTATTAATTGCGCAGTCACAATAATAAAGGCAATATCCTACTAGGTGTCTTAACATCCGTTGATCAGCCCCTCCGTCTTCCCAAACTAGGCAATTACGAGAACCAACATACATGTGCCAAGATGACTGGCCTGGCCTGGACGGATCGCGTCATTGCGCCTCCGCGGATATTGCTACGCAACACAACATGACGCTGCCTGAACCCTCTCACCTGCTTGGTTTTCCGTGTATGCATGAACAGCTTTGGCCTTTCGGAGAGCTTGCCATAATTCCTAGGCTAACGGCGATAGGTAGTCCGCCACATCTGCGTTCCCGGCAATGCCAGCGGCATCTTCGTCCCAACAGGAAGCCATGCTGGCCAGGGCGGCCATACCATGGTGATAACTCCGCCGATCTCAGCATCCGTTGCTGGCAATGCGACTTTGATGTACCCCATTCGGCCCAAGGCCGCCTGTACAGCTTGCATTTCAATCTTGCTGTTGGGCTGAGCTGTAGTGCCTTTGAAGACTCCGCCACCTGCCTGGTCGGTCAAGAAGTCTGCCAAACGTAACGTCTCAATTGAGCACCAGTCAAGAACGTGCCTATTCAAACATCAAACATACTTACCTAGGTAGGTAGATATATACGCTCATACATGGGGACTGCTCGACACAATTGTTGGGATATTTCCATGGTGGTGTGTACACAGTCAACTTGACGGAAGATACCACTTGGGTTTCCGCACCTGGTCCTCGCTTCGGTCATCACTACATTTTCTGTCGTGGCCTTGGTCCTCCCGACGCATATGGCTGCTCAACTGCCACCGGCATGCCGTCACGTATGTATGCATAATAAACATGGTTGTTGGTCCAGAATTTTTATTTGCAACGCGCAAGCTCTCCTCTTGCCTATCTCGTCGACATCTCAACAACTACCCGACTCCCTGCTTCTTAGTCTCTCCAGGAGTGTGCGTGGGCATTGGCATGGCCATCATCTGCTCCAAACCCCGAGGCTATGTGCGCCAGGGCAGAATCCTTTCGTCTCAGCTTCATCCAGAAGTCAAGAGACCCCCACCGTGATTCATCCAATGAGATATTGCTTCTCAGCATCCAGAGGGTTACACCGACCCCCTGTTGCACAGGGTGTTGCCTGGAGTCTTGGGCGTGAGCAAGCCGGGCCGGTCCACGGCCACGGCCACAGTCACGGCCACCGCCACGGTCACGGCCACGGCCACGGCCCCGGCCACGGCCACGGCACCGGCCACGGTCACGGCCACGGCCACGGCCCCGGCCACGGCCACGGCACCGGCCACGGTCACGGCCACGGTCACGGTCATGGTTACGGATTCACGGATCGATGCTCGGGCAGATGAGCGGCCATTGCAACCGTAAATATTCTACCCATACATGACAGTACTTGACTATGGCGCTGCTGCAGAAAGAGCTCTGCCTCATATTGATATTCGCTCAAGGCAGCCGTTCAATGGCCAAGTTTCTATTGCCCCTCTCCTGGCCAGGTACCGGAGGATTAATTGCTATTATTACCGACTATTAACAGTTTGAGCTAACTTAACCTCGGCGCCCCCGCAACCGAACTATCCCACAGGTTCAAGATGCTTATTATTAGAAATATGCCACATGGGGAAGCAGGCCTCGATGGTGGTTGAAATTGTAGCGCTACGCTCTACATTGCAGCCTCTTGCATCGCCGACTTGGTCCGTCAGCGGTGTTGGACTGTTCCCCCACAATATCAATGAAATGAAGCGACTCGCACTATGGAAGAAATAGGAAGGCACACGGATGCAGAACATTTGGAGGTTACATCGCACCGTCAGCACCACTTAGCACCACTCAGCGCCACATGAATCAGTCATTCTTATCTTCTGAGCTCTCGGCAAAAAGTAATGCTTGTCGCAACGGGCGCCAGCACAACTGCAACCTGCAACATCGCCACCCATCATGGTGCACATGATGTGACAATGGGTTGTCAGTGTTGAGCACTACTGGCTCAACAGGCACCTGCAGGTTGGTGATTCTGTGGGTGATGAGTCGGCAACCATTCACTTCGTCATATGGTTTTCACCCTCAATTGGTCCACGCGGAGGAACTCTCTCATCAGTGTTCTCTGAAACCCCCTCAACTACACCCTGTTTGTTGTTTTGCTGGTTATGCTGATGATGGTCACCACCAAGTCCAGATTACACTCGGAACTGGCCGAGGAAACCGCTCACAGGCAGCAACACGAAAAGGGTGTCCAAATTGCGCAAAACAAAAAGGGTTGTACAACAGCCGAAATCCAGGATTTTTTCTGCTTGCGAAATGACGCAAAATGAGACTAAACTGGTATAGAGGACAACATCCTGTTTCCTTGCGCAGTTTTCAAGTCAAGGAGGTGTTTACAGAACCCCCCCCCTGGTCTTTGTTTTTTCTTTCTCTTTCTTCCCCTTGACGGTCGGTCCCTTCAATGTACTTTTCATGCAGTGGAACACGTCCCTGATAGTGCTCGAGTCTCGTGATATTCGTAGATGTTCACTATGAGGCTTTCTAACCTCATGAAAGCAACCAATGGAGGACCAGATGCCTTGGCATCGCTATCCCAAGGTTGCACCATCCTTCAGTCCCCAGATTCCTGACCACGTCCTGCTTTCCACGCTAGCATACAACAAGAAGCTGTTATCAACGCCCTCACCGACAGAGCCACTTCTAGTGTGATACCCTAGGCGCCAAATATTGAGCGTCGTTTCCCGCAGATTCGGCCGTTAAAGGCTTTGTTCTACAGCATGTCTAGTTTCACCGTCACGATTTTGTACGTCTGCAAAGAACAAACAGCTTCCAGTTCTGGAAGGTGATGGTTTCAGATGGAAGCTTCCCTCTCATCCTGGATCGTCTCAACATTGACCTCGATGGAGACAACAAGACGGCATCTTTTGAGTATAAAATGAGCTTTCTTCGCCGTCTTGAAGTCGAATCTTTCCTGGATTCACACCCTCATCACACAAGCTCCATTCCATCAAATCAACTTCGGTTTCTGCCCAACATCTCTGGTCTTTGGTCCCGTACTAGAATTTGCAATCATGCATCTGTCTGCCCTTCTCACTCTTCTCCCAGCCGTTCTGGCTGACCCTGCCACCATTGGCCGGCGCGCTGAGCCAGCTCCTCTCTTCACTCCTCAGGCTGAGAGCATCATTGCCGGCAAGTATATTGTCAAGTTCAAGGATGGTATTGCCCGTATCGCTACCGATGACGCTGTGAGCGCTCTCACATCCAAAGCCGACTTCGTTTACGAGCACGCCTTCAACGGGTTTGCAGGCTCCCTCACCAATGAGGAGCTTAAGACGCTTCGTGACCACCCCGATGTAAGTACCTCCTCCCACATAGTCAAGGGAGACATGTAAACGTGTAAGTGTTTGTTCCTGACCTGCTGCGCCATAGGTCGATTTCATTGAGAAGGACGCCGTGATGCGTATCAGCAGCATCACTGAGCAGAACGGTGCTCCCTGGGGTCTTGGCCGCATCTCCCACCGCCAACAGGGAAGCACCACCTACCGCTACGATGATAGTGCTGGTGAGGGTACTTGCGTATATATAATTGACACTGGTGTTGAGGTCTCCCACCCCGTAAGTTGTGCCGTCAAACCTCCACAGTGCGGCATAGCAAATTTAACAATATCATTCAGGAGTTTGGCGGTCGCGCCACTTGGCTCAGGAGCTTCATCAACGGTCAAAACCGTGATGGCCACGGCCATGGGACTCACTGCGCTGGTACTATTGGTAGCCGAAGCTACGGTGTTGCCAAAAATGCCAAGCTCTTTGCTGTCAAGGTTCTTGATGACCAGGGCAGTGGTTCCTACTCCGGTATCATCAGTGGCATGGACTTTGTTGCCCAGGACTCCAAGAGTCGTAACTGCCCCAATGGCCACATTGCTTCCATGAGTCTGGGAGGTGGCTACTCGGCGTCCGTCAACCAGGGTGCCGCTGCTTTGGTCAGGTCTGGTGTCTTCCTTGCCGTCGCCGCTGGCAACGATAACCGGGATGCCCAAAACACCTCTCCCGCTTCCGAGCCTACTGCCTGCACTGTTGGTGCCACTGCGTCAGATGACAGCCGATCTACCTTTTCCAACTACGGCAGAGTTGTCGATATCTTCGCTCCTGGTACCGGCATTCTCTCCACCTGGATCAATGGCCGCACCGTAAGTATTATACCTCGATAAGCGGGAGACGCGCTTTTGCTTCAGCAACAGCTCTAACAAGGTTTAGAACACCATCTCTGGCACCTCCATGGCTACTCCCCATATTGCTGGTCTTGCTGCCTACTTCAGTGCTCTCAGCGGCAAGACTAGCCCTGCCGCTCTTTGCCAGAAGATCCAGGACACTTCTACCAAGAACGTGATCCGCAATGTGCCCGCTGGCACTGTCAACTTTCTTGCCTACAACGGCAACGGTGCCTAAATGTTTAACTTGAGCAGGGGAGGGACCCTTCAGTGAAGAGACGGCGATTGGCTGGTTGTATATTTGAAATGATTTCCAACGCTCGAATCCTCCCCGTAGGTATATATTTACATTTCTATATTTTCTTCACCAAGTACATTCTGATGATGGAACATGACCTTTCCCAATATAAGATCTCTTTGCAACAGAAGGAAATGAAGATGTTATCGGGCGTGTAACTCGGAGTGCACAAACTGGAGCTACTACCTGAATAAATCTACGAGAGTTTATAGCCGCCTTGAAGTTGATCCTGCATTATTCCGTGAGAATCATACGTGTATGGGCTTGCTTTCCTCATGAGCCTCAATTGCTTTCCCCCCATAGGATTACAAGCCTTTTGCTCAAGCTGCCACTTCAGTGGGAAGCAAGGCTGTCTTCGTGGCCATCTCCCACGGCCTCTCGCGAGAACTGAATTTAGCCACAAAGGCGGAAAGGAACATGACTAAGGAATGCTCAGAATCAAAGCTGCACTGGCTCCATAGGAACAGCAACAAGGGACCAATTTACTATACCCCTTTGCATTGGTTTTCATCTTTTCACCCTCAAAGTCTCCCGAGTTGATAACATCCTCTCCAGCTAAGGGCTCAAAGGCAACGTTCCATACCACACCCGCAGGGGTGAACTCTTGTAGGCGTGCGTTTAATACGTTGAAGAGTTCTACCATGAAGATCTCCGAGTGATCGGGAATGCCTGTTGGAAACACTCAGTTTCTGGAGAATACACATCAGTTAATGTCTCTTTTGAGCTGAAAATGCAAAACTCAGAACTTGGGCATACAACCCGTGACATGATATAGTTACCCACCAAGAAGCATACCCTAACATATTATAATATAAAGCGTGATAGCCAGGTACCTTATCTGGTTAAATACTTTTAACCTCGCACCGGACAAGGCGGGTGTTGCCTTTTTATCAGCAAACCTGGTCAAAGACGTGACTGTACTCTTATTTCGAAACAGCAGAACCTCGGTTTCTTTCTTGGAGAGTTTCCATGGGTATTTATTGTGTCATTGGAGGCTATTCTTACGTGGCTAAGAGGCACCATTGAGTCGGGCCGTTAACACAATTGGCCTGGTTGACGGTTGAGCATTGAGCATTGAGCATCCCTGCCAAGGGCTTGCTGCTAGTTATCACGACCCCGCAAACTAGGAGGTTGCATGGCACGTATGATGATTGCGTTGACGCGCATCGTCGGTGTGAAAGCTTTGTTGTAAGTTCGAGTTGCGGCTGTATCCAGTAAAACTTGGTCTCATGCTGAGTAGTCTCACGTACGCCTGTGCCCGAAAAGAGCCTCGGGGTGGCCATCAGAGCCAAAGGCAGGCCGGGAATGCAGAGCTCGGGCTGCGTCTCTGGTAACATTGGCTTTAACCAGCATCTCCCACCATTCCAGGTCCGGTCTTGATGGGGATGTTCACGCAGCCCACCAAGCTTGGGGGTTGTGTAGCGATCACGACCCAAATCTCAGACTTTGAGCAGCTCTTCTTGGCTGTAGTCAAAAAGGGCTCATCTTTAGTTCTACATTCGTCAGCCTGCTCGATAAGTTGATCCCTCGGTCGCAAAGCAGGTTGACCTCAAACAGCCCCTTCCTCCTCCGTACAACTCAGCAAATGAGCCCCACGTGATGGCGCCTGCAGCATCTAAAAAACCTCCCCTCATTTCACCTGCGCCTTCACCTGCGCCTTCACCACCTTCTAGCCAACACGTCCAAATGATGATAACCACGTCCTTCGTTTTGTTCCTCGACAACCTGCCCTCTTCCATTTTTGCTCCCTGCCACCTTGTCGGACCTCCTTCTTTTCCTGCAGGCCTGTAGTCACGCCCCCCTTCTTCCTTGTCCAGGCTCGTCCCACGTGTGCGGCAGATCACGACGGAACCGGGGTCTCACACACGACTGGCGTTCAGCGCATCACCCTGCATTTCGTACCTCTTGATTTTCTTTTCTCTTCTCTTTTTTCTTCTGCGCATATCACCTGATCCAATGGCTTCACGTGTGTCCCTCTCGTGGCGCCTGGCAAGCAGACCCGTTGCGGCTGGCCGCCGTGCCTGCTCAACGCCTTCATCCTGGGCTCCGCGCACAGCTTTCCGTGGTGGCAAGCGACAGCAGCGATTTTACTCTTCTGACAGTGGCCCGACTGGCAACAAGGACAAGGTCAAGTTTTGGCCTTTTATTGCCGTGATTGCTATTGGTTCAGCCGGATACGTTGGATTGGTGAACCGTCGCAAAGGTATTTTGATGCCCCCCCTTTACGTCAACCAACAATTTCAAGAAACCACCTCCTAGTTACTAACATTCCGAATCACTATAGATATGACGCGAACAAGCGATTCCAAGACCGAGGGCCAGCTGCCCCCGCCGGCCAAATCCTCGCCCACATTCTCTCCCTCCGATGTCACGGTGCTCTTCGTCCTCGGCGGCCCCGGCGCCGGAAAAGGCACCCAATGCGCCAACCTCGTCAAGCAGTACGGCTTCACGCATCTCTCCGCCGGCGATCTGCTCCGCGCCGAACAGGAACGCCCTGGCTCCCAGTTCGGCGATCTCATCCGCGACTACATCAAGAACGGGCTCATTGTGCCCATGGAGGTCACCATCCAGCTCCTCGAGAACGCCATGACCGAGGCGCTCCAGAGCAACGGCAACGCCACAAAGGGCCGCTTTCTAATCGACGGCTTCCCGCGCAAGCTAGACCAGGCGTACAAATTTGAAGAGTCTGTATGCCCCGCCAGAATGGTCCTCTTCTTCGACTGTCCCGAAAAAGTCATGGAGGAGCGTCTCCTCGAGCGCGGCAAGACCAGCGGCCGCGCCGACGACAACGCCGAGAGCATTCGCAAGCGCTTCCGTACGTTTATCGAGACGAGCATGCCTGTTGTGGATTACTACGAGAAGCAGGGCAAGGTGGTCAAGATTGATGCTACCCCCACGCCGGATCAGGTCTTTGCCAACACGAAGGCACGTCTGACTGAGAAGTTTGGCAAGGAGTTTTAGTTGCGTCGCAGTTTACGACGAATTCGCTCCTCTTGCACCAATATCTGGTCAACTCTTTTTTCTGAGGGACGGTAGATGTATTTCTGCGCTGCTGTTGTTCATAACTGGTTGCTATATTTTTTTCTTCTTCTCAGAGCTGTCCTTTGATGCTCTTCTTGTACCTTTATTGTTCTTTTCAGTGTCAACTTTGGGATAGAGAGAAAACACCATTTTAGATTTTGAAATTGCACCGGGTGGACTCGGCACAGGGATAGGGTGTCAATCCCTTGGGAGTTAGCCAGAGGCTTTTCCTTTTTCTTTTTCCTTGTGTCAATTTAGACAGGAATGTAAGATAACGCTTGTTGCGCCGCCGGTGGCCCTGGCTACGCTGTAAAGTATAATACCATGACGAGAAGTAGACAGTTCGTGGCACATTTTCATGCTCTACTGATGTTTCACCTACACTTTGGCGTAATAAAACAGCGTCAAATAGTGTAAATCAGACGCTAAATCACGGCATACGTAGAAGAAAAAAAAGGGGGGGGGGGGGGGGGGGAGGACGACAAGTTATTTTTCAAATTTTTTATAGTCTTCATTGATTCTATTTTGAATAGAAACATCTGATGCTAAACCGGCAGCGCCATTTGCGTAAAAAAAATAAATGTTCCCCCATTGCACATGTCGTTTGTCATCGTCAGGGCCTTCTTGCTTTCCCAAACGACCGTATTAACACAGTTACCGCGTCGGTATACAGAATACCGCCACTAGCCCTCAAGCGCCTCTCGTTTCCTTTTTGGTCCCTCTCGTGAGATGCATGTACGGGGTCCACCGTTGCGTCTTCGTGTGGTTTCGCGCTCAAAGTGACCCGGCCCCTTTCCCCCCCTTTTTGTAACCGTCGCTTTGCGCTGGACGTTGTTTAAATCTTCCAGGTTGTCATGTTGGTATTTTAATTTTTTTTTGGAGGTTTAAAACAAACCAAAAAAAGCGGGGGGGATTGTTTAGTCGTCATTGTCGGTCCTTTCACGTTGCTGTGACTGTGGGTTCTGTTGCCGCCGGTTGCCGCCGCCCTGGCCGCCGCTCACACCGGCATTGTTGAGCTTGCGCTCCAGCTCTTGGATCTCGCGCTCCTTCTGGGCCTTGGCGTTGGCCTGCTCCTGGCGCAGGACGCCGAGGACGTTTTGGAGAGTGGCGCGCCAGTGGTCCACGCGGGTGGACAGCTCCTGGTACTGCTTCTGGCCGAAGACGCGGTAGGTGACCTTGTGCACGAGGAACTTGTTGCGCTGCTGGGAGAGCTTGCCTTCGACGAGGCCTGCGCGGATCACGTCGATGGCCCACATCTCGACGTGCTCCTGTGGGAGGATAAAAACAAACCAAAAAAAGCGGGGGGGATTGTTTAGTCGTCATTGTCGGTCCTTTCACGTTGCTGTGACTGTGGGTTCTGTTGCCGCCGGTTGCCGCCGCCCTGGCCGCCGCTCACACCGGCATTGTTGAGCTTGCGCTCCAGCTCTTGGATCTCGCGCTCCTTCTGGGCCTTGGCGTTGGCCTGCTCCTGGCGCAGGACGCCGAGGACGTTTTGGAGAGTGGCGCGCCAGTGGTCCACGCGGGTGGACAGCTCCTGGTACTGCTTCTGGCCGAAGACGCGGTAGGTGACCTTGTGCACGAGGAACTTGTTGCGCTGCTGGGAGAGCTTGCCTTCGACGAGGCCTGCGCGGATCACGTCGATGGCCCACATCTCGACGTGCTCCTGGGGGATCTGGAGGGCCTTGGCGATCTTGGCGTACTCGATTTCGCGGCTGGGCGTGGCAGCGGCGAGGCTGGCAAAGGTGAGGAGGCGCATCTTGCGGTGGAGCTTGTCGTGGTCGAGCTTCTGCTGCTCGACCCAGCCTTCGTGCTCCTCGGTGAAGTCGTTGTAGTCCTCGAGGTCCTGCTCGGCAAAGATGTCGAGAAGCTGCGAGTATACGGGGTGAGAGTCGCTGAGAGCCTGGACGCTGGGGATGGCACGGAGGTCTTGGAAGAGGAAGTGGGTGTTGGATAGGATGGCCATCTTGATGGCGCGCAGGGACAATCTCTGCGCATCCTCCGACGTGATCTCGTCCTTCTCGTCGGCGTCAAAGGTCCGAAGGGCCTTGAGGATAAAGTCGTAGCTGATGGCCTCCTCGCCAGCCTCCAGGGCCGCCTCGGCAACGTTCTCGTAAACCATGCGCTCGATCTCCTCGCTGGCATCCCATGACTCGAGCCACTCGCCTAGCTTATCCAGGTATAACCGCATGCTGTCGAACATGTTGTGTGCCCTCAAGAACTTTACAATCTCGAGGAAGATGCGGGCGCGGATGACGTCCTCCGGCGGGAGCAGGTTGAAAACCGTCGCCAGGGCATTCAGGGACAGGCCGGGGCCGTGGACGGACGAATTGACGGGGACCTTGGCGAGGTTGGCGCACAGAGTCTGCAGGTACTTCTTAGGGTCGGCGGACTGCAAAACGAGGTGGATCATGAGATTTGAGGCAGCGGTATATTCCTTCTCGGGGACGGTGCTGAGACCGGCCGAAGCAGCAACCAATTTGGCCAACACATCTTCCTTGGACACCTTGTCTTTGCTTAGCAGCTGAGTGGCTTCCTCTGCCTTGAGGTACTCGGCCATCTCCTTGGCAAGCTCCTCAAAGGTTCCGTCGACGAAGAGCAGCTGGGGCTGCTCATTATTCTTGGAGGCGGGCATCGTGAAATTTTCGGTTTCGCCTCTCGCGAAGAGGGACGAGGAGTTTCGGTCGGCTGGTTGTCGATTCGAGTTCACCAGCGAGCAAGAAAATGGTTTGAACCCTCTTTTGGAGACGTGGACGAGGGAGACGGGAAGCGGCGGTACCTCGCGATCGCTGGCACGACGTCTGCAAACAAGAGGGAGAGGGTGGAACTCGAGAGCGGAAAATGTGATGTTAAGCGTCCGTTGGCAGGGTCGACGGCCTGAATAGCCCTGTGGTGGGGCTTTGCCTGTGAGTCCTTCGCACACCCCGCCGATTTTTCTGCCGCCCTCAATGTGTGGGAGCTAGGCGTCACCGCCCTCGCTTAGCTCCACATGTGACTGTGCACGTGCAACTTCTTGTAAGTCTCGACAAATAAACCAACAAATCAGCTGTATTGTATATCACGCAGAAGATGAAGGAGACTAGCTTTGTTCGACTCGCCAAGTGTATTAAATTGTAAAGTTGCATTCTGCCATACTACCCCGTGCGAGTTCTGCAAATTTCTTTGCCCTACTGAAAATATCGCTTCCGCTACTAATTTTTGGACCCTGCATACTGCACGATGAGTATTTGCTATTCTAAGCATCACAACGCCTGAGCGTCCCATCCTTACAGTCCATGCCTCATAGACTTCACAACACCTTGCCTATCCATTGAAATCGAATTTACTCTGTAACCAACAGAAACATGCCATGTCCCATCTGTCGCATCAAACCATTACGCCGAAAGAATCTGTGTACATGCCAATGTTGGAAAAAATTCAATCGTATATCGGTATATCGCACAATATCCATAAAACACGATCCAAACAATTCTGGTTCAAAAATATTAGTCGCACGATCATTAACCAAGTACCTATCAACTTGGAGGTGCGTTTATCGGTCGTGAGCCTTGCCTTTCTGGCCAGTCCTCGTCGCTGTCGCGTATATGCTTCCACTGTCGTCACCAAATAGCTGCTGATCGCCCTTGCCTCCCATCTCCATGAATTCCCCAGCGGCTCGATGGTGGTCTGGTGCCTTCTCTTTTGAAGCGTTCGTAATTCGCTGCTGGTTTTTGGAAAATACCTTTACCGGAGCCTTATCATCGCCAACCGCAACTTGAGCGGTGACTTGAACAGAGTTCAACGTTGCAAGCAGAGTTCTTTCCCGAGCTGGTGCACGGCGGTTTACTTCCAGTCCAGCAATGCCTCCCACAAGGCCGCCGGTGCTGTCATTTACACCGGGGCTGTTCTGGGTCATCCAGGGATGGGCAAGACATTGTTCCACAGTGAACCTGCGTTCTGGATCTACGATTAACATGGAGTCGATGAGGTCAACTGTTGTTTTGTCAGTATTACACTTGAGCAGAACAAGAATGAGCGCAATAGGGCGGCTTTGACTTACGAGCAGGGTCACCAACAGAATCCCAGTACGGGGAGGGGTAGTCAAATCGACCGCTTCGAATCTGTTGTGACAGAGTGAAAGGGAAATCGCGAGAGTAGAGCTCGTCGGAGAAGGGGGGGAAACCGCAAAGGCAGATGTACAGCACAACACCCAGCGACCAAATGTCGACGGCTTTGGTGTATTTGCGTTGCTTAGAGTCGGCAAGAATTTCAGGGGCGACATAGCTGGGGGTTCCGCAAAGGGTCGTAGTAAATGACTCTTCGCCGATGATTTTGGCGAGGCCAAAGTCAGCCAACTTGACGTGCAGGTTTTTGTCGACAAGCAAAATATTCTCCGGCTTGATGTCTCGGTGCACAATGTTTCGTTCATGCTATGGGAGTCGTCAGCATTGCAGTATTCGTGATAAGTGGGTTACGTATACGTACGAGATATTTGATCCCCTGGAAGAGTTGGAGGAACAGTTTTCTCGTCTCATCTTCGGTGAGCTTCTGCTTCATTACAATAAAGTTGAACAGCTCGCCCTCCGAGGCCAGTTCCAAGACGAGATACACTCGATCACGCTCATTGAACGTATCCTTGAGGCACAATACGTTTGGATGGCTGACACCCATCAAGACACCGATTTCCTGCTGGAGACCTTCCGTCTTGGATTTGTCCTCCATACCAGGAGGCTTCGTAAAGATTTTGACGGCATACCGTTGGCCAGTAGATCTTTCGATACAGAGGTACACCTCGGCAAAATGGCCCTTGCCGAGCTTCTCTAGTAACGCATACTGTTGCGAAAAGGCGCTCGTGTGTCGGCTCTGGGGATACCTGAAAATGAACCTGGCCTTGCCATGTACCGCAATCTCATCCTGATCCTCGAGTTCTCGGCGTTGATTACGACCAACAATGGCCTCGTTGACAAAGGTGCCGTTGCTGGAAAGATCCTCTACAATAGCGACCGTGTCCGTCCCATTATTCTCTGTGAATAAAAGACAGTGGCGGTTCGAAACAATGCCCTCGTTGACTACGATATCTTCACAGAAGCTAAGGGTTAACCTCACGAGGGTTCTGACTAGGCAAGAAAACATTTCAAACACATACCACACTCAGGATGTCGGCCTATTAAATAGCCACCCGAAGCCGCTCCCTTTGCATTTTTGCGCTCAAGGGTTTCTTCAGCCCGGATGGGAGCAGGTTTGTTGGTGTCTAGAGGTGTTTTTTCACCATTCACGGCAGCATCCACGCTATCTGGCTGTGGGCATGCGTTTCGTCTCTTTAGCACCAATGGCTTATCGCCATATTTGGGATCTAGAGGCACCAAGTATCCCCAAACACCTTCCTTGACCTCGTCCTCTACATCGTCGGAGAGTGCAGGGTGTCGATCGACAAACTGGCTGAGCGGCTGCGTGTCTTGGGGCGGTGATGACAAAGCCTGACTCTGGGGGAAGGCTTCGTCGGTCTTTCGCGGAGTGACATCCTCGTGCTTGCCCGCAGAGGGTGTAGGAGTGGCCTCCTTGTTGGCATCGCTCGATTCCTCAGCGGCGACGTGCGTAACGGGAGACGGCAGATGCTGCCTGTTAGTGACGGGCGTCTTGTCAGCGCCGGCGCCGGTGGCACCAACAGCACCCACAGTTTGCGATGACAGACGGTCCGATCTCCGAGGCTTCTTAGACTCGGTTGCGTCCTCGGGCAGCGAACCCTGGGTTGGATGGTTGGTGAGCCAAAAGGTAACGAGAGCGAAGCAAGCAGCACGACGAAGCGTGCGCAAGGAGGTACAAGACGGGCAGAGAAACTCACGCGCTGGCGCTTCAATTGGCTCTTTTCGCTGCGAGGTGCCATGTCCTCGGGGGCCTGTTCAACAGCAAAAAGAGGGAAAACAAAAGCTCTTCAGCTGCAGCTGGGCCAAGGCTGTGATGTCGGCAAAAATCACGATTGCGGATCGAGGGGAGAATGGGCGAGGAGGGTGCCTGGGATGAATCAAAAAAGCATGGGAGAAGTGATGACGGAGGGGAAGCTGGACGGGCACCAAATGGCATGCCATCCAGGCCATGTCAGCCCCATGAGGCCAAGGCCAGGTGCCAGCCCTGAGCCAGCTCTTCAGCCCGGTGGAGAGAGAGCAGCCTGGCAGCACGGGGCAAGCTCCCAGGTTGTTGGACGTGACCAGCTGACTATTAACTTACAAAGTAACATTGAACTAACATGTCTGGCTGGTATTTAATACGGACATGGGACATTGGAGTTGACGAGCATCTGGGGCCGGTCCACTCAATGCTTGAGCGTACGTGACATTTATTACTCATCCGCACTGCAGCGCATACAAATACTCTTTTACATCCACAGAATTTGTTTGAATCGTCTCTTACGACCTCTCTCATGAGTGCGTGGACTGCGGTCCGTTATAAGGGACGAGCACCAGCAACCGAACACCATCGCCATTTCCTTGCAGACACGTCTCAAGCTTTGATTGACTCATCTTGAAGCTGAATACTCAGTTCGCTGGTGGTGGGGACTTGGAGCTGGCGTACTTGAAGATATTACACCCCGTATGGATGCTAGCATAGGCACAGTCTTCTTACCCTGTTGGAAGCCTAGCTCGTGAGGAGATGGTCCGTCAACATACTCCGTCATCAGAAACGGCATGACACTCAGTCGCCAGGTCGCAAAATTGGCCCAGTCTTAATATTAAGACTTTGACAGTATCATCATGTCTTGCGGGTGTGCCGCCTGTAAACGCAATAGCTGGTCTTGTTAAGACGACAGAGTACCAAGCACACCAGCTTGTGAAGCAACCCGCACAATCCACGGCCCTTGACGACAGGAGTCGCGAGTTTCAACCAGTCAATGAGTCAAGTGACTGTTGACCCGTCCAACGGCCCGCAGTCACCTGCCCCCATGCAACAGCAGATGACTCTTCTTCGCCTTCTTCGCCAACTTCGCCCACGTCCACAGTCATCAACCAGTGTCACACATTGTTCGGGATGTGCCGCGGCGAAATGACGGGACACTGTCACGCCATGTGACTCAAACCATGTATATTAATAGTCATCTCTTTCCCTGGAGCCACAGCGGGCCGATCCTCTGAAAGGTTGGGGATCTGACCTTAATCCTGATTCTAACTTTGGCCAATTTCTACTGCCCTCATCGTCATCACTATCAACTGCGTACTGGGCATGTATACCAACTTCACTGCCGAGACAAGCAAGCTGACACTCAACATCGTCACCGCACATGCAGCCGACTCGACTGCTCTGGCCCATTAGTATTAGGAACTACCTATCCATCCTACACATCCGTTCAAACGTCTGCTGTTTCCAATATTTCCCAGAGCTCTTTGCCTGGCTAAGCTATATTGTCGATTGGTCATCTGGTCCATGAGCGCAAAACGCTTCCAATCTGTGTTGTCTCTTCGCGTGTGTGTCATCGTCATTGCGAAAAGCAAATGCCACTCTTGGCGACGAGAACGAGGCTGCCACCCAAACGCCAATGCCCATAATTCATCCCCCCAAAACTTCCATGCAAAACTCGATCCTGCATCAGCCACACTAGCGTCAGCGTGTAGCAGACAGTAAAGGACATTGCCTCTCCCATGACCTGAGAGAAAAAAAGAAAAGAAAAGAAAAGGCTTCATTCACACGTAATAGCATCTCCCATTATTGCTGGCCGCCCAGAGCTTGCGCAGCCGAGGCAGCTCATGTACGTGATAGCACAAAGCAAAGCTTGTCCATCGATCCCAAAATCTGTGTTCCTATTTTTCGGGTATGGGAGACTTTGCTAGTCGCCCTCCAGCACTGACACGTTTCTGCAGCCTAGCTTCCCTCTCTCGCTGCGGCCTATCGCTTGAGCTCAGGTGAAGGGGTAGTGAGCCCAAAACATCGTGTCCTGGATTATTGCCTCTGCCCATCTTCTGTTCGTAGTACTGCTGGGCAAATCGGCCAAGTGGGAAAGCGGGCATTGATCCTGGAATATCTGCCCCATTCTGGATGAGGAGTTCAGCAACGGGGAAGGGAACAGCCTTAACATCTGCGTCGGAAGCGCTCACGCTCGATGTTGGCGATGGCTGTGCTGGATCTGCCGCTGCAAGTGCCAGCCAGATTGCATGCGTCCCCCTCATCTTATCAACAACATTGGGGTTGGCTTTGAGTGCCAGGGCGTACATGACCTGCTGAATTTCATTCTTTTTGATAGCCGCCAGCAAGGTCTCGTCTGGCGTCGCATATCTTGACAGTGTTGTCGAGATTGGCTCAACGTATGCCCGATCCACGTACTTGGCAGTGATGAACCTCAACCGCTGTTCTCGAGTCGCTTGCGGGCCTGGTTTCTGAGACGGATTCAGTTTAGCCTCCCAAATCATGTTTGATACCCTGTTTCCAATGAGCAAGAGGACTTCGACAATATCGATTGTAAATGACTTGATATCCAGTGTAAGTGATCGGACTTTGCTGATATGTGTACCCAGAGACCGGTGGATGCCGCTACATTCAATACACAGGATAATGCCCAGGTTGATGGAGACCCATTCCACCTTTGACCCTGAGCCACAGTCCGCACACCAACAGTTGCCTTGATCCGCGTTTCGAACCATTTGCAGCAGCTTGTCTGGGTTCTCATCGTACCCTGAGCTTGTCGTGCGAACCGCACCAGGCCGAGCGCCGACTGTTATTCTGCGCTGCGGCATTCCCGCGTTTGCGGTCGAATGATGCTGCAGTGGACCATGGCCCGAGTGCTGTGTTTTGCCCGTCAAGATAGAGCCAATATCCCTCTTAAGAGACGAATCTACAGGTGTCCTAGTCGACGACGAGGGTTCCGGGACGCCTCGGCCTTCCATCGCACTTTGCAATGCATTGTTTATGGACAGAATCCAGCTGTTCATGTCCTCTTCAGATGTTGCCTGATAAACGCGCTTGTAGTTGGGCGTTATAACCTCGAAACAAAATCGGCGTTCTGCATTGCGTGCCTCACGTACAGAAGCCATTCTCAAGTCGATGGGATCCATGTGGAGGTCCAGCTTCTGCTTCCAATTACTGTACTCGGATAACTTTCCTTGATCCAAAACAATCCAAAATCTGAATCTCGTTAGTTTCATGTTCAATCCCATGCACATCAGGTGTTCCTTTTTTGAAAAAGAGTGCCTGTCAAAAGGCTGCATGACTTACTTGTGCCATCCCTGCTTGTTCAAGTTTCGTGGATCAACATGGCCACCCGGTCTGTTGAGCGCCCACAATAGACCTTCCTTTCGTTGGCTCACTACACCCTGTGCTGTATCTCGCTCCTCAAGATCTCGGAAGCCTTTGAACTTGGCCCCCTGTGTGGAGCTAGACAAGGACGACTGGCCTTGGCTACCAGGAGATCTCGAGAGCTCGGCTCCTTGGGTCGCGGTTCCTTGGCCACCAACGCCTATAGCAATGGCGTTCTTAATTTGCGAGCCTGTACTGTCGGCACGGCCAAGTTCGCTGTCAGAAGTATTTCCGGCATTACCGTTCAGGCTCGAGGACAACGGAGCAGAACTGCTCAGGCTTGCTTGTTCTGGTTCCAAATAAGGGGTGTTGGACTTTTCCAGCTGTCGTCGTTTCTCCTCCCGCTCTCGACGTCGATATTGGTACTCCTTGTCTGCTTCTTGAACTTCGGAAGAAAGCGCCGACAACTGTGGAAGGAAGTCCTCAATCTTTTTTGCAGTAGCCAGATAGCCTTTTGTTTGTGCATCCGCGTATTTTGTCAGGTGGGAAAGGACTTCTTGCTCTTTGCGACCACCATGAAGATCTTGCACAAAACTGGAGTAGTCGAATCGCTTCAGCTCAAAATTCCGTCGCTTGTTTTGGTATTTTGAATCACTATCCGCAAGTTTCTTCGCCTTGCCCGAATCCTGCCGCTGACCCAGATACCGAGATACATATGCGTAGTAATCTTTGCTTTCTTCCTCAAAGTCACGCTTTTTGTATTCAGCTTGTTTGATGTCGAGTTGATATAGCTTGTTTAGCGGCTCTATAATAATCTTTTGTAAGTTTGCTGTATTCTGGCGTTCATAGGCCACGACTTCGCGTGCAATTTTATCAAAATAGTGTTCCAAAGCGGGTTGGAAGGCGTTGGCATTGGTAGAAGACGCCTCACGCAGAGCTTCCATGAAGGAAACAAAAGCATCGTTAGCCTCGGTTTGCTGCAAATGGGCATGCTCTGCTCGTTTGAGAACCTTCTTCATTTGGACTCGCATATTGCCGGTCTTTTGCTCCAGCGCTTTTAAAGTTGCCCGAAAGACGGGACCATCATCACTGACAGTGACATCATCGTCATACTTGGGACATGGAACGTCAACTTTGACAGGCTCTTGCATCTGGTTCGTGTTCGTTTGCGACAGGCTTTCATTCGGCGCAAGAAGAGGAGAGACGGGCTCATCAACATCAACCCCAGTTAATCGAGACTCGACCGACTGCGTAGAGGCAACTCGAATCTTTGGAGGCGAACTCAATAGGAATTGCGGCGAAGGTGAACTGGGGTTACTCGTGGGTAAACCTGGACCTATCAACGGCATTAGAATCCAATGGCGTCCATTTGTCGCCGTGTCAATAATAGCGTGAGTTACTTACTGGAGACAAAATAGGAGAAGCTCGCCAGAGTATCCAAACGGTGGGCTCGAGGGTCGTATTCGACAAACTTCGGACCAAGAAAAAAAAAGGTTAGCTGATGTAACAAATAGGTAGTGACCTGATAATAGCATCGCATTCTTACGCTGCAACAGTTCCTCCAACCGCCCCCTTTGTCCTCAACAGGCTTGGGGGGTTTCCACTTCCAAGTCCATTCAAACGTCACAGATGAACTACCCCCGGTGCTGTAATCGCCCACGAGCT